AGATGGCAAAAATTCTGTTTCATTTATGTGGTTAGCTACCTGTAGGCAAGTGTCAAAAAACAGATTTAGACTGGGGTATTAGAGAATTCCTCCTCTTTTTCTTCCCTCCCCCCAGCAATTTGATGATGGTTTCATCTACAACTAAATAGGGGATGTTTACAAGGTCCAAGCTATGCTGAAACTGTGTAGAGACTAATGAGGAAGGAAGATTTTTACAATGCTCTTGTGAAACATTTAATGAGCTCTGAAATAGTGCTGGCAGGCCTCAAAGGAGAAAGGCCCAGTTTAAAATTGAACTTTGCAGTTTACTAAATGGCAGTATGCAGGAGCCGCAGGCACTATTTATTTTCAAAGACTATTTTTATCTGAAAATACCCAACTCCTGTAACCCTCTTCTGCTCTAAAAGTCTTTACCCCTCTGCTGTAGATGCCATGCCATCAGTGGCACATGCCAACCAATGTGCTCCTAAGGCCCAAAATAACACATTAATACATTTTTCTTAATGTAATGGAACTGGATTTTGCCTCAGATATAGTTAGCTCATCTCCTCACCTCCAGAGGTCATCCCCATTGAAACCAGAATGTGCCACTCTGGGGAGGCTAGGAAGGACTTTTTGGAGTAGAGATGGTGAGGGTGAAAATCCCCTGGCTTTATCAGTAATACAGCTCTCTTTTATTACATTCCCATTCCCCCTTCTCATCTCCCATCAAACTGCCTACAGCTGTGTTCTTTCAATCTTCAGCCTGGAAGACATGAAAAAGCGGTGTGCAAGACGACTACAGTTTTTCAAAAGTCACTCCCACACATATAGACAAGGAAGCAAATAAAAAAGTTTGAAAAAAAGAAAATCATCACAGTGCCACTGTAGAAGGTAGAGCCAGATATTTTAAATGGCACAGTGATTCTGTTCCTTGGAATGAAAGGAGGTGAGACATACTGGCCAAGAGAGTGTCTAGTTAGGTGAAGTCCTGCTGAAAGTCCTGCTGACCCTTTCTACCATGGTAAGGTGAACCAATGCTGAAAACAAACTGAACTTGCAACATGTCCTTTTAAGTCTTCAGGGTCCTTATTTTTCACTTAGGAAAAAAACTGTAGGAGCCTAAAGAGAGTCTGAAAAGTACTGATGAACTTGGCATCACCAGATCACTTCTTCTGGCAACTCAGAACAAGAAAAAATATTAAGAAGCAAATTCCATACTGACTGCCAACTCTTATTTCATGGGTTGGATCAAGCTCATGTTAAAGGTAGTGGGATTAAAGAGATCTTCAACTGATGAGCACTTCTTTTCAATCTAGTATCAACAATTTGCAAAGCATATTTAATTTTTTAAAAAAAATATATATGGTTTTTATTTAGTACCTAACACTGCTGACATGAGTAACAAGTAGTCAGTGCGACAAATTTAGTGATATAAAGAAGATGTGCCTTTTCTCATCTGGTTTCACTGGTGTTGTGTCAGTCCACAGAGACACCGCCATACCATTTCTTACACAACAACTCAGCTCTGTGGGTTATTGTAATAAAACAAAAACATCCACATTACAGAAGACATTGCTGGCTCCTCTAATTCCATTTTTCCACAGTGCTTCTGCTGAAGAAATTGATGTCAGACAACTGACTCAAATTTCCCCGAACTCCCCTCAAATACACATTGAGCACTTGACAATGCCCACTTTTCTATTTCCCTCTCCACGGCTCCACTGGAGAGGACCCTCTGTGCATTCAGAGCAGCACAATGAAGAATGATTTCCAAAGCATTAACTTGGAGCCATTGAGACTTGAATGTTTTCAAAATAACTTATTGTGCTCAAAGGATTCTAGACTACCCCAGCTACTCTAGAAGAGAGTCTTTCTCCCCTTTCTCAAAACATCCATCCCTTCAGCCATCCCTGGAGTGCATTGTTGGGGCTGATTCCTTAGTGCAGCAAGTTCCATCAGTCAAAGCTCAACAGATACAAATAATATCAAGATATGGATATAAATTAGCGCGACAGACCCTAAATAGTTTTGACAGGTTTAGTAAGTATATATAGGGACACAGAATGCTATTCCTGCTGTCAGACATCAATATGTAGACAGAAGATTGGGGGCACCATGGAAACTCAGCGACATAAGAGTGGTATTGATTGGATAGAAAATGAGGCTGCAATTTAAGCTTAAGGCTGCCAGAGATGCCAAGAATGGAGAATGACCTCCAGCAGTGAATTTTCAGCATAAGCTCCCTGTGAACAAGCCAGTCCAAGAAGGATAAATCAGGGACAAGCTCACCAGGGATATGGCTCAAGCGAGTGTTGCTACCCTGAGCAGATGAGAATCTCTCTATGTGTGCACGTGTTACAGTGACCTAGTTCGTTCAAAGACAGCATTTTGTATGGTTTATTATGGAGCCCCGGAACAAAGAGATTTCCTCAATTAAAGTCCTGAAATGCATCCTCTAAATGAAAATGCTTTTGATACACTGACCAGCAAGAGGTTGTAAATATCGAAGCAAAGCATACATTGTTAAAGACCAATTCCCACAGAAAATGCCACAGTTAGGAATGTAGGTAATGAGGGGGCCTGAACAGAGCAGAAGCAATGAGCCATGCCAACTCCATCCCTAATGCCCTAGTCTTACACTAAAACACTTGTTATACTATAACACTAGATAAATTGTATTTTCCTTGACAAAAAAAAAAAAAACCCAACACACACAGGAAAAAAAAATAGTATGAGTTAAATGAATGCATTTTCAGAGCTCCTGTAAAGAATTATTTTTAATTGTTATCTAAGGAGTCAGGAACAACCATTCCCAGAATGATCAAGAAGAAATAGAGGACATTTCGAGAAAGTACCTTGCTGAAGCCACTGCTGGAAGTTCACTAAGTAATAATATTCACATTTGTGGCAGAAAGATTAATCTACACAAAACATCCATCAGTACAGCTGTGTCAGGAATAAGATAACCCTCCAAAGTGTCCCCAGTGTCAGGCATATGGTACTAGGATAGCAGCACTGTGTTTTGTAATCCTATAGTGAGACAAACCTTCTGCTGGCAAGGATACATCAGCCACAGACTGCATCTCAAATAACTGGAGATAGACATCTGGATAACTGCAAAAGACCTGTTTTTCTTAGACCATTTCTACACTATAAACAAATATTTACCATTTGTCAAAGAAAGATTTGTTGTTGGCTTCTCTTTCTCCCCACCCAAGAGCTGACTCGGGATTAAACTGAAGGATTTCTGTCCTTCAGTTTCACCCAAACCTTCATACATGAAAAATCACTGAAGAGTTTAGCTCAGCCTGGAGACAAGAGTTTATTAAATCTTCACATTCCTTCTCTTTAGCAAAATTTGCTAAATTATGCAGCAGGAATTGGTTTTGCTGCTTTTTGGGGTCAGTTATGGGAGTTTGGGTTTGTTTTTTTTTTTAATTCAATGAAGTACCTTCTCCATGCACTTCCATATTTTCTTTCCCACAGCAAATTAACAAATTTTGTCACAAATACACCAGTTTCTTTTTCACTTTAAACTATTTCTCATTATCAAAGTTCAGAATTCTTTTTCTTAATTCTTATTCTTTTTCAGGGAGGAAATTGAAATGAACAAAACAAAACAAACAGACATAAACATTAAATTTGTTTTGTAATCGGCTCAAGAACACTGCTCAGAACACACCAAGTATTTCTTTGTAACAACTTTTACTTTCCTTCTCTCTTTCTCTCCATCCCTTCCCTCCTTCTCCCTAATACAGTCTGTTACACACATCATGTAGTTCTTGTTCAAAAAGTTGAGCTTTGCTAAAAGCTAAAAAAATCAGTGCCCAGAGGGAAAACAAGGAAAGGACATCAACTCAAGAGCTGATGACCCACAGGTAAAATGTTCCTCTAGTGTAATACGAGTCATTGCAAGCAAATGGGATCTAGCTAGAACACCACTATCCATAGCTCTAGGGTTATGTCACAGAGAAAGATTTAACTCCTGTCACAAACATTTCCCCAGTGCTCCCAAGAACCCGCCAGTCTCTCAGGTGTACATCCTAATAGCCAGCTCCCGAGGGTACCACTGAGTTAAAGTGCAGTAGTCATTCACCACCAAGGCAAAGCCACTGGCAGCGTGGAAGAGAGGTGAGACAGCCAAGTGGAAGATGTAAAAGGAGCAGATAAGCTCCTGCAGAATGAAGATTACTATCGCCCTATGAAAAGTTGTACTTTTAAAAAGAAGAGAAGAAAGGAAGGTAAGGAGTTAGAAGCCCCGAGGCTGGAGACCATGAAACATTTGCAGAATCACAGACAAGTTCAACAAAGAGGAAACTGTTTTCAACGTTGTTAACTCAGGTTTTCCCCCAGCCTATCCCTCCCGAGGAAGGGGAAGACACGAACTAACAACGGCAGTTTTAGATAGACCTAGCAGCACTTGCTAGATTTAGTTGTTTCACTAGGAATAAATTAGGGATAAGAAGGCAAAGTCCCAAGAGAAATATCAGGCGAAGTGCTCGGTCTGAAGGTACAATTTAAACTCCCGAGTTCCAGCCGGGACGTTCCTGGCACAGGGTAACTGGGACCCGCAGGGTGTTAGCCGCTCCGCTGCCCTTTTGTCCTCTCGAAACAGACCTGCCCGAACACTCCTGCCTCCCTTCCCCGCTGGGTCCCGTCACCCACGGCCGCCGCTGTCCCTCTCACCCCGCGCTGGCATTTGAACACTCCCAGGAGCGGCAGCGCTCCCCACCCGGCAAAGCGGTCCCGTTCCTGCTCCCGGGCACTCCCAGACCTCACCCACCACCCCGGCCAGGTGTCTCCGGGGGCTCAGGTGTCCCCCTCAGGTGCACCCCTGCTCCCACCCAGCCCCACGGCCCCTCTGGCCGGCCAGCCTCTGCGGCGTCCTGCTGGGGCAAGTGTCCCGGAGCCGCGGCAGGGACGAGGGAAGCGCTGCCCACCCTGCCCCGGGGGAACAAGCGCTGGAGGTACCATCCCTCGGGCACACCCGGGAGTCCCCACCGCTGCCTCGGACTTACTTCGGGCGGCAAAGAGCTCTTCTCTCGCAGCTGAAAGGGGCGAGCCGCGGCCGTCCCCGGTGAGCAGCGACTGCCTGTGCTGCCGCGCGTCCCTGCGCTCCTCACGGACGGGCTCGCCGGCCGCCGCCTCACGCCCGGCTCTGCTCTCTCTCCCGCCGGAGCCTTCTCGCCGAGATTTTTATACTGCAGGCAGGGAACCTGATCCGCGCTTTGGCTCGGCGGAGCCCGGGCTGCGGCGAGGCGGCGAGAGGAGGGAAGGCAGGCGGGCGCCGGGGCAGAGCGAGCGGCCGCGCTGCCCCCTCGTGTGATGCGGGCGGGTCAGCCGCGGGGCAGCCGCGCCCCCGCCGCGGGCTGGGCTGGGCCGGGCCGGGCTGGGCCGGGCCGGGCTGGGCTGGGCTCGCTTCGCTCCGCGGCCGCTCCCGCGGGAGGAGCGCGCCGCGGAGAGCCCGGTGGGGAGCTGCTGCAGGGCGGAGAGCCCCAGGATCCCTACCGGGCTTGTTAGCTCAGGTAACTTTCTCTCCTCTTCATCACCCAGGGAGAGGGAGAGGCAGCTCGCCCTACAGCCCGACCGGTGCGGGGCTTCAGCTGCTTTTGCAAGTACAAACGCCCACCGCAGTTTTTGCCCCGGTTGCCTTTGACTGTCAGAGTTTGGGGAGCTCTAACTTCGGCCTCGCTGACTTCCAGCTTGCCATTTTGACCACGGGAGCGATAGGCTGGAAATACTGCTAGAGAGTGGGAAGCAAGAAAATAAATAAATAAATAAATAAATAAAAACCCACAGTGGACCACTTCTCTCCCCCCCAGTCCCCCACCCCCAGCTTTTAATTTCAACTTGGCCTAAAAGCACTGTGAGAACAACTTTTGCCATGCCATTTCAACACTTTTGGTCATAGCGGTTGCTGCAGTTGTATCAGGGCTCTCATTTAGTAGCAGGCTTTTCCAACTTTCAGGTTCATTACATCCACTGAATAAGAGTGTTCCCCAATCCACAGCTTAATTTAAAACTACGTGGACTTGTTCCAAACTCCAGGCAGTTTCTGTGTAATTCCCTCTCCCCAGAGCAAGTCTCTGCCTTCACTTGAAAGACTGGACCCATTCACTGCTTAGGTCTCAGCTGGGTTTGCAGCTTGCAGCTCCTGCTCCAGGTTTGCACAGAAATCCAGTTCAGATTCCCCTCCTGTTTCCAGAGGAATGAGCTAAAAAAGTAATTTGTCTGGCACCGAACACATTGCATCATCTAACACCTACCATCTGTGACAATGAAAAGCACTGTACAGCCAGTCCCAGAGCAGGCAATTGCACTCACCTGGAGTCCCTCTTAGTAAAGTAAACTAACCCTTTCCATCCACACCTTGACATCTTCTTTTCATCACACAGTTATGTGTTCAGTCCTGGCACGGCTGTGCAGGATTTGCACCACCAGCAGGTTTAATGACAGTGATGTAATTTAAAACAACAATTTTGGTTTGCAGTGTAAAGTGATGGCTTGAGGTGGAGAGAATATCCTTTCTAGCAGCTGGATGAGTGGAAAGGAGAACTCAAAGGCATTCGTGTTTCAGAGCATGCAAGGCTGAATGAATGCTTGCTAGCCAGCTCGCACCTTCCTGAGGTCTTCTCAGTAAAATCCTGGCAGCACGGAGCTAAGCACGACAAGCACCTAGAGAAAAACTTTCCATCAAGAAGCACCTGGTAGTGGTTGACACTTTGCAGACCCAAGAAATTCTCCATACAACCACTATAGCACATTTCAGATGATCAATCCTTCCTGAGTAACTAACTAGGAAAGAGACCAATGGCTCTAAGTTCACCTTGATTGCAACCAAAACAGATTGCATCAAAATGGGCCAAGAGGTTTCTTACTTTCCTCACAGAAATCTGAGTCTTAGCCAAAACACTGCAAGCATAGCATTTTGATAAAACAGTGGAAACTTTGCAGAAAGCAACTGCTTTTCACAAAGATGTGCATGATGTTAGAAGCCTCCTTTAACCTCTAAATTTGGAAGCAATGTCAAGACCACATTTGCTCCCAGATTTTCTCCATGCCTAGTTTTTCATAGCTCAGACGTTATTTTCCTGAAACTGAGTTTACATGCACAAAAAATAGTTTTGTGTAATAGTTTTGTGTGTTATTTGACTCAGAATCTCCAAAATAAAACTGCTAACAAGGTTAGCAGAGCTTCTCAGGGACAGATCATTGTTCGAAGCACCTATGACTGAAAAACAGAGTTTCTGTTTTTGATTGCCAAAAAAGTAAATGTTTTTTAATGTTCGTATTATTTGTTTCAATGGCACCTCGAGGCTTGACTGAGGTTTCCATTGCAATAAGCACTGTACAAATACAGGAAAAATATTCTTTGCCCCAAATTGCTCACTGTGTTGTATGTGTGTGATATTAATGGGGCATAACACTTGAATTTCTTGACGGAACTTTTGCCATTGAGATAGAACCTGTTAAGACAGAGAGGACAATGAGACAGTGAATACAGTAGTCTTGAGAGGACATATGTAACTTTTTTGCCAAGAAAAAGGTCACAAACTATGTTATTCACAGCCTCAAAGGTGCCTGTAGCACTGGTTCCCAGTGGGAAACAGCAGTATAGCATGGAGAAAATGGAGATGGATGGAAGATAAACTGTGACCAGTTCAGAGGGATGTTTTCCTTAATAAAAGGATATTAAGGTTGGAGAAGCTTATCTCCAGATCTTCTCTGCTGTTTTGTCTCTCCTGAGTTTTTTCTCAGACAATGATGCAATTGCTGCATGATCTCTGGAACTGCAGACCAGTCAACATTTCTTGTGACTGATAGGAAAATCCCTACTGGAAAAAATACTTTTCAACTATTACTTTTCTATTCTGAACACAAAGGTAACCAAGAAAAGAGACTTTGCTCACAGATTGTCAAGGATACTTATCTTTAAAATCTTTTACATTTGTTTACAGTTGCTGGTTCCACTCTGATCAAAAAGCAGTGGTGAGGAATGGATTGGAAGCTGTAGAAGTCCAGTTTCTGTTCTCACATATCTTCTTTGCTACCTGGAGCAAAAATGCACAACCTAATGAGTGAGGCAAATCTGAAATATCTCTTAAAAAGGAAAGCTAAAGGTTCAGGCCAAAACAGACTGTAAAAGAACCTTTGATTGATACCATGTGCAAATGGTCTCATAAACAATCCAAAATATTAGATCCTAATTAGAATCTCAATTCAATCAGTAAAAAATTATGACAATTTTTGGGGGAAAAAGCTCCTAAATTTAGATACAGTTTTTGCCAAAATGCAGAAAGTACCCCATAATAAGTTCCCTTGAATAAGGTGGTTTTTTTCGCTTTGAAAAAAAACATAAACACCAACTTTTCTCTTTGAAGCTGGGGCTTTTTGTTACTCTTAGGTAATCAATTCACAACCCACCTGAAGGAAATATTTGGAACTTCTAAGAGCAGTTTGCACTTTTTCTCTAAAGATGGCCTTAAAAATTCTGACTCTAAAGTTCAGAGAGCAACTCAGAGGACAAGGCTTTATGCAGTTTTCTCTCAAGACGAGCTTCCCTGTTTTTGGTTGCACTGCTGAGTAGGTTAGAAGGTCAGCTGGAGCTGAGCTTGCCTTGTTTGTTTCAACTCCACTGTAAATATTAATTTCTTTCCCTGCCCTTCCCAGCCATTAGCAACAGCAGCACCAGGAAAACGTAACATGATTCCAGGAAAGCAGAGAGGAGAACTCCACAACAGTTTAAAGGTTTTTTCACCTTTTGCTCCATTGTTGTTCCCGAACTATTGAGCTGCCAAGCCCTGGCAACTGAGTGCCCTGCATCCCGACTGCTGCGCTCAGATCAGATTTCCATTAGTGATACTGAATTATTTAGTGAATGCATTGAGGATTGAAATCAACTACTTCTGAGCTGTGTACCCTCTCACTCTATCTTTCATTTCAAGCCCTCACACTATCATCACAGAGACTATCAATTGGAGTAGAAAAATCCATGGAGTTCAGAAATAATAATTCATACTTTACTCCCTAATATTAAAGTAATCCAGGGTATAAAAAGTCAGATTTCCCAGAGGCATGTGGAAGGCAACAGCAAAAGCATGAACCCAGAAGAGTTATTCTTTCATGCACATATGCTAAAAAATTAAGATATTTGAAAACAAAGCCAGTGGCCCAGAACTTGATCTTAAGCTTCAGTCACCAAACCATGAATACATGTCGTAACTTTGCACATTTGACTGACTCCATTTTCTACAAGGGGATTAAAGCTCTTCTGCTCAAAATTATTCATGTGCATACATCTGCATGCTGCAGTTTGAAATCCACAAATATAATGCGACACAGCAGGCCTTTCCAGATCCCCAGCATTTAAAAGGCTGCTCTTCATATGTTGGCTTCTCTCACTACTTTCTTCTTTTGTTTGTGCTGGCATTCCTGGGAGTGGAAGTTCTACATATCCAGGATTTTAAGTCTACTGCATTAAAAATAAAATACCTTAGTTATGATGAAAAAAAATTGCTTTGTGTATATGACCACCTTTTTTTTTTTTTTTACATAAACAAACATGTTTATTTCATTCTAGTTTTGCAATTTAGGGAGAAGTTTAAACCAAAAGAAAATGGTATTTTATTATGAAGGGCCAAGCAACAGCTACCACGTCAGTTCTGTGTTCTGGGGGTTTGTCACTATGCATTGTAAAATCAAAGCAAAATGTAGAAACAACATGTTTTTCCTATGAAAACGAACCAATAAAATTGACATTTTTAATTGATTTCAAACATATGGCAGAAAATTACTCTACAATTAGAATGCAAATTTCCCTTTCAATTTCTCCCAGGAAGAACCTGATTTGCTAGTACCTATTTTTTCACAAGGCACTACACCCACGTGCCTAACTATTCTATGAAAGAACTGGCTTTAGAAATAGAGAAGACAGCATTTATAATCCCACCAAATCAGTCCTTGATGCTTTATTAAGGCAATCAGCCAGTATCAGACACAGTACTAAATAGCTTTGCCCAGGGCACTGGACTGAAATGGTCAATTTTACTCTCTACCAAGCTAGCAATAACAGATTAGAGGCTCTAACTCTATGGCAGGCAAGTGATTAAAACATTAGAAGTATTCTGATCCTTTTCCTATGAGCTAAATCATGGCACAACATTTTCTGGTTAAAACTCTAGTAACCACATTTTGAAATACATAATCACTAGTTTTCAATCCAATTGTGCCTATATAATCAAAAAAATAATTCTTAATATATTCCCTTTCAGGCAAATTGGTAGTATTTTGGGAGCAACCATTACAACACTCTTTATATACGCAATATGATGCAAACAGCACAATTCTGAGCCTGAATGCATGAACAAAGAAGAAA